TTCTTCGCTTTCGCCGAATCGTACTTCTCCAACCACGGTACCGGAATTGTCTCGTCGAATAACATTCGTATTCTCGATCGAAGCAACCGTTCTCTCAACACTTGTACCGAGCCTTTCACACTCGCGCACTGGACACTCAATTCTCTCACAATTTCGTCCTCTGACATTTCGCAAATATTCTCCCATATTCGCCTTATCTCTTCTTTTTCCAAAAGTGCTAATAAACGTTGTCGATATCCCTCCATTGCCTCTCTCGTTACCCGCTTCACACTCTTCGACATTAATGTTAAATTCTCCAGCATTCACGAAAATTCGTATCCCTCTCAATTACTTCACACACGCACTCTCTCTATCTCTCTCTCAAAACTACATAAAGTTACAATAAAGCCTAAAATTTAATAAATTAGACAATTATTGAACCAATAATTAATATTTTTTTTTTTTTTTTTTTTATGAAAGAGAGACCACGCTGATCGTAAATGATAAGTGAAACAAGGCAAAAACAAAAAAAATAAAATAATAATAAAAAAAACGATCACTATTGAATCAACAGTGACGCTCAGTTCCCGCCAACGCTCCGCAAACCGCTTGGCTTCTCCCGCCTGACGCGTGATTCCCGCCGACGCTAAGTTCGACGCTTGGCTTCTCTCACCGCCTGACGCTTAGCGTTAGGCGCGAAAATTCTCACACTCTCAGGACAACACTTTACACACGCAAAAACGTCCTACTGCACAACTTTTCTGACAATTTATCGTCTGCCGTTTCTTTTTCAATAACGACAACCGGTGAGCTTTATCTATAGACGGTGATCGTGCATACTTGATGCATTTCTTGGTCACAAATTCAAATTTCACCTTAAATCGTCGATTTTAAAACTGTTAAAATTAATACTTTTTCCACTAAAAATGTATATAAAAAAAAGTTTTCTTAACAATTTGAACGTTTTACTCTTGGTCGCGCCAAAGTTGATTTCGCTTCTCTTGGGTCGCGCGTTGCGTTTCCCGCCTACCCGCGGTTCGCGGCGTCCCTCAATTTGAATGATAACCGTTAGCTCGTTCCAACAGGAAAAATTTGCACTTTTTGTATTAATGCTTCTGTCATAAATTATCACGGTGATCGAAGCTGATAATCTTAGAATGACAGACTGGTATTGCACTCAAAACAAGGACAATATACTAACAGCACAACACAAAAAAAACTTGAATACTCTACACACACTCTCTTTCTCGGCGAAGGAAAACAAACGCAACGGTCGTTTTTGCACGGCCTTCGCTTGTCCTTCGTAAGACGCTGATCTACTCGCTCAACCACCAAAACTCTCTACTCGCTGGACGACACAAAAATTTGTGATTGAAAATTGAAGATCTCAGCATGGGCCCCACGTTGGGCGCCAATTTGTGATGGGGAAATTCAATTAAAACCTTTAAAACTTCTAAGGCTCTAATCTGCACCGTATTTCTCCCAAAATTACTTTAAACTCTCAAATTACCAATTGTTACTGAAATCTATCAAAGAGGGGATTCCGCTGGGAAAAACTGTTGCGGTGCAACAACCTTCAATTTTCAATCAACTATTCAATTTTTGTACTCACTACTTGGTGATGATTTCTCTCGTTCGGCAATCAACTTGGCAATCCAATTTTGAATATCCAAAAAGGAATCACCGAACAATTATTTATTTTAAACTTATTTATTTAAATAAAAGAATACTAAAATTACAACTAGTAATACTAAAAATGAAACTTAATCTAATAAATTCAGAACTAAACACTAAATTAAAGAACTATTTCAATTCGACTCTATCTCTAACTCTGTAGCCACACGACCGCTCAAAATCACGTCTATTCTCTGAAACCGCTGAGAACTCTCTGTCGAACCCACGCTGCACTGCTTCCTCGAAACGCCGGTAAAATTCATGGAAAACCCTTTTTCTTTCTCAGAACTCCTAATTTTCCATCAAGCTATCTCTCTCGTCCCCACTCGACGGCACCTGTTAGCCCGCCGAAAAGTGGGACCGCTGACCATGTGACCAACTCCTAATTGCTCATGCGTCAAATCATTTCTCAAACGACTTGACGGACTACGCACGACGGTGATCAACGAACTCTGAAATAACGACGCTGACAGAGAAACGATGCAACGAGAATGAGACGACGATAAAACAAAATATAACGTCTCACTAACTAGGAACAGCAAAAAGAAATACAGTAACGATTTACTTCGTTACAGTCCACAAGGTAAACATCACCTTTTAATGTGGTATCGCAAGCACAAATTATTGGTGCATTCTGAACATTTGGCCATTTATCAAATGATAAGCAGACGATTTCGTTTTTTAAAGTTTTAGATGATGCCATAAGTTTGAAGAAGTCGATAAATCGAAATTTAATTTTAGTTCCTTTTACATGTTTGCTAAAAGAAATGTATTTTTCTAACGGCAAAGGTTCAATCCTTTCTTCAAATTCTCAGCAAATAACTTCAATTATAAAATGAGCATTATACCTACCTAAATTGTGAAATATAACAGGTATCACTAGTGAATCTTGATAAGGTCTCGTGAATCTCGATATTTACCTGTTAAATGTGAATGATCTCGAACTTTCTTTTCAAGTGAAGTTTGCCCTTAACAAATGTGACATGTTGTTGATCCTGCAAATTTCTCAATTTGCTCCGGTGTCAATTTATCCATTGGAATTGGACTTTTCATAATTGCGTCAACGTTTTGAGACATTTTCTACAACTTCTGTGAGAACCACTTCGCAGAATTTACTCCTTCTGGACTCGAATTGTAACCGGAAAGTGAGTCATCGTAGCTGCATTTAGCATAATATCCAATGCTCAAGATTTCATGTCGTTGAATAATTTCCGTATTAGTAGTATTTTCTTCATCTCTAAAAGGTTTCAGAAGACATTCACAATATGGGATTTTATCTTTATTTCCTTGATTTTTAAAATTATTAAACAATTTTTCAGGTTTGGGTAGGTTAATTCTGCCTTCATTTAATGTTTGACACTCACGTACATGCTTAGTAAGTTTCTGCTTTGTGATAAAGTAATGAAGACATCGGTCGCAAATATATTTTTTACCTCTGTTTTTAGAGAGTTGAGAATTCACAAGAATCAAGATGAGACAAATTCTTAATGTACCCGTAGTGATATTTTAGCGTGATGACTTGATTAATAACAACATCATTATCACTAGAACCCTCGTTTTCATAATGACTTTTAACTCTTAACAAATTGACATGCTTCTTCTTTCTCTCTGCAGTCAAGTGTAATGGAACAGTAATAAAATTCTCATTTTTCAAACGTAGTCCATAGATATTAATGTAAATTTTAATATTTTGTTTTTCGAATTTTGAAGTATCCTTTACTTTGACAGGAAAATCTATTCCATTAAATTTTAATTCTCTTTCAGATTCATAATAATTCTAGAGATCTGTTGCATTATTATCTTTTGGATGAATAGCTGATAGCACAGCCCATTTGAAACACTTTTCATCCAAATTTTTAACGTTGATGCAAGCTTTCTTTAATTTTTTTTGACGTGGTAAATCAATGAATGAACCAACACGTATTGCATTGTACTTATTTTCATTAATTTATAATTTTATTATAGAATGTAAAGTTCATTGTGATTCCTTCTCTGCAAACTCCTCCACTGATTGCAAGATCGGCTCCTTAATGTTCTTCTTGTACTAATTATTTAAAGCGACTGTTGGGAAAATTGGTTCATTTCTTACATTGAAATAATATAGTCTCTAGTCGTGTTCTCTTTTTTCAATTTTCATACTCTTATTCATTCTTACATGCAGTGTTCAAAAGTTCCACGTGCGTTCTCCGATTTCAGATCACACCTCTTTTGTCCACTAAGATTGCTTTGGTTAAGCGTTATCTGCATAAACATTTTATAAATATTTTTAATAAACACCTTTGAAAGCTTAACTTTCTATTTTACTTATAATTTTAACTTTTAGAAATCACTACACAAGTGCAGCGTAAACTTTTAGTGGTTCATGTTTCTTTAATATAATTGGGACACCTTTCGAATAGTACACAAACATCATCTAAAAATGCTTTCACATCTATGTGTACCAAGTTGATAATGAAACTTGTTTGAAGACGACATTTGAAAGCACTCTCACAATTGGTCCATCGAACACGATCTCTTATTTCATCAATTTCTTTCGCTGGAGATTCTGGTTTATTCGAATTTTCTCCTATTCCAAATCCTTGTTTAAAAATAAAATTCAAAATTTGTATTCAAACGAATAAACTGCTGAATTAGGTTAAGACACTTTGGTCTTCCTGATGAGAAATTAGATTCATTTAGTATTTTCCTTAATTTTGCGATATATTCTCCACACGTTGTCATCCATCTTGTTATGTTTTGAGTCCAGTCGATTTCAATTTTAGTTAAGTTCACTAAATGAAAGGTATCTTCTGCAGCATGAAAAATACTTTCAATTTCATGAAGAAGCTATGAATTTCATGTCCTTTACTTTTCCACAACCGAAGTCTTCAAGTTTGCATTTCTCTGACATTTACCAGCCATTCTAAAATTTCAAAAAAAAATTTAATTCAGCTAGTGTCGGTTTGTTGCGGTGGAGCCTTTTTCTTATGCGCTGAGACTGTAGCTCCCTCTTACTTTCCTTCTAACGGTGCTCTCCTCTCCTCTCTGCTACGGTGGGATCCCCTCCCTCTCTCTCTACTGCGAATGTCGAAACTCTATTGCGAGCTTCGAATTGAAACCCAATCACGTATTCACACATAGCAAATTACACTAACACATATTTAAATGATAACACATACGAGGGCCGAAAATATGTCAGTAAAACAGTTTTTCTACTTTGTTGATCGAGTCAAAAATTTAGAGTAGGAATCTGCATCACCATCGATTGATAATGATGGAACCTGCAATACTGACTATGGGTTATACTTAGACAACCGACTGCAGCTTTTTTTTAATTCGACGAATATAATATTTTTTTAATGTTTCAGGATGGGATAGTATGTGATGGTTTAACTGATGTTTACAATAAATTTCACATGGGTAATTGTGCAGAGAATACAGCTAAAAAACTAAATATTTCACGTAATGATCAAGATGAATATGCTTTAAGTAGTTATAAGAGAAGTGCAATTGCTTATGAAAATAAAGTTTTTGAAAAAGAACTAATTGATGTAAAAATCCCACAAAGAAAAGGACAACCTGATATCATTTTTAAAGAAGATGAAGAATATAAGAAAATAAATGTGGCTAAATTTCGTCAGTTATCAACTGTTTTTCAGGTAATTTAATAAAATATTTGTAATTAATTAATTACACTAACTAAAAATTATTTCCTAAATGTCTTATATTATTTATTATATTAATTAAATTAAATGTGTGCTGTGTTTACCTAGCAATGATGTTATGAAAAACATGTTTCAGAAAGAAAATGGCACAGTGACAGCTGGTAATGCTTCAACTTTAAACGATGGAGCTGCAGCTATAGCTTTGTGCACTATGGATTACGCCAATCAGGAAAAACTTGAGCCACTTGCAAGAATAGTTGCTTTTGAAGATTCTGCAACTGATCCAATTGACTTTCCAGTAGCTCCTGCTTTGGGAATTCCCAAGGTAAGAATCAGCTTTCCTGTAAAATTTAAAAGTAGATGTACCTTTAAGTCAAACTTAGAAAATATTTCGACATAAGAAACCTCGAGCATAACTGATTTTTGAAGTATTTGCATTATTTATTACGTGTTACGACCAACACGACGAGCTAAACATTTTCGCACAATAATAGGGTGCAATGACATTAAAGTTATTCCAAGTTTGAATTGAATTATTGACCAATATAAGAACAAATTTCCTAATCCTTTCACCCTCTCCACTACATTCTGTCACTCTAATATCGTCTTATAGAGAAGAGTTATTGTATTAGAAACTTTCATCCAAAATACTATTTTGGACAGAAGTCGTAAAAATAGTGTAGTGAAAGCAATTAAATCGTTAAAGTAAATGTTAGGAAGGGTATTTCCGCACGTTTCGGGTACATTTCCATACTTCTTGTTGTTAACTAACGAACTCAACAGATAAAAGCGGTTAATTTATTATAGGTGTAGCGAAGACTGAAATATCAGTACTTTATGATAAGAGTTAAATCCCTTTTGTGTATTTTCATTTCAACAATTACAAACATGACCTAAAAGTTGCTTCTAAGGTACCTTTTTCGGAGCGTATCACATTGATTAATTATTATTTTTGAAATATAAATTTCTCTTTTTCAGCTTTTAGAAAAGGCGGGTATTAATAAATCTGATGTTGCTCTTTGGGAAATTAATGAGGCGTTTAGTGTAGTTGTTATTGCGAATCAAAAACTTTTAGATATTGATTCTAATAAAGTAAATGTTCATGGTGGAGCTGTATCTATTGGACATCCAATTGGGTAACAACATATTTTTAATACTGTTACGTATAAAATTATTATCACTAATTTCATCAAATACCCATTTTATATTTTTTAGCATGTCTGGAGCTCGACTTATTGTACATTTGGTTCATGCATTAAAAAAAGGTGAGAAAGGTGTTGCTTCAATTTGTAACGGTGGAGGAGGGGCGTCTTCGATTTTAATTGAGAAAATCTAAATCATGTGGATCTTTCATCTCAATAATTAAAATTTATACGTTTATACATATTTTTATACATATGTTTTTACATATATAGTATATCAAAAAGGTGATTATAATGCATTTAAAAGCTATGATGGGTTACTCACATATTTAATCATTTGATTTCTTTTTATTTTAAATTCAACCGTTTTTAACTGTATTTTGTAAATTTTACGAACGAAGAAATTATAAGCATTATAGATTATTTTTATAAAAATTTTTAAAATAATAAATGTATTTTCAATAAAAATACCACTGTTTTCAATTTTACATTAAAAATATGTATAATTATGTTAATTTCACTATTGCTTCTGGGTGAACTGTGGTCTCCAATTTTCACCTAATATTACAGTAGGTAAATACTTAAAGAAAACACAATATTAAACTTAGTGTCTTGAAAAAACCGGTTTTTATTTACGAAGATTTTTATTTTAAGAAGTAATTTGTAAATACTCCACTAAAAGTTTACAACTGAATCCTAGAATAACTACTCTACGCACGCACAGGCTACAATTGTAAAAAGGATAACAGTCATTAAACCCTCTAAATGAGTTTATTACTGGTCGCCCAAACTATGGTTCTGTTCATTTCAAGTACCTGGGACAAACTCACTTGTAAAAAAAGGCATAATTCGGTTTTTCCAAAAATCTGTGACGTCAAGCCAAGGTCTGTCTACGAGCCTCCCTTTTTCTAAATTTCAACCAATAATTACACTTTTTAACCCCCACTAGTTAAATAAAACCTCCTGAACTTGTATCACGAAAGAAACAGGTATGAAATGTAAAATCAGACAGTCGCGTGTCTAGATCATAACGCGCTAATTCAGTCAATACAATTCAAATCATATTATTACTCACGTGGAATCTTAAATTGCTCTTTTCTTTACTTTAAAATTATGTTTTTGTATAAGGTGTTGAACTCATTTAAAATATATGTATTAAATGTATCTTACAATTAGTGCATATTTATTCATTTACAATACCTGCATGAACCATACAACAAACAACGGTTAAATACGTAATATTAACTATTACAACTCTTTTAAATTCTTTTATCTCTTCGAAATTTATCTACCATGCTAATTGGAAAAAGATATTTTATTAATAATTGAGGATTTTCTTGCAGAATTTTTTTAGCAATAAAAATGAGAATTGTTTTCATTGGTTCTTTTTCTATAACAGGTGGTTTTCGAAATTTTGATTTGCCTTTTAAAACTAGCGGTTTACATCTTCCATCCACAACTAGAACAGAACATCTTAAAACAATAAGAATTAATCATAGTACTGATTTCAATTCGAATAAAATATAAGCCTGAATAAGTATGTATGTGCATCTAAGACATATGTATATCATACTTTATAATAATTAAATAAATAATTTCACTTTGTAACTCACCAGAATCATCCTTAATACGACCATTCCAAGATCATTCGACTTGCGTCCCGAAGGTTCAGGGTTCGAGCCCTTCTGTGTGCGAGATTTTTCAAATTTAGTTTTAAGTGATATGTGTACAATGTTGGTTAATAATGTGAAATTAAATATAGATTTAAACAATAAATAATAATTTCATAACAAATAAATAAATAACTTGATTTGTTAAAAATAGGTTATAAATAGAAGTACGAAAACTCTAAAAATATTTTCATATAATATAATATAATATTTTCATATAAGCAATAAAATGAAGAGATCGAAGAACCCATAAGACTGACATCAAGTTGTTGGTAATATTCATTGTTTTACTTTACTAAGTGCATAGAAGCTGAAACAAGTACATTATGTAGACTGCAATTTCCTTAAGTATTTTTCGTAACAACTTTATGTTTTCAAAAATAAACAAAAATAATATATCATATCCTGTAATTGTATTCAATATCGTTAATGTTATATTCATTCAATTTCAATTTGTAAGTCACCTAATTTTATTACTTTATTCCAAAGTAAACAACATAGACAGTCACATATTTCAGTCTTTTATGGCATTTGAAAAAGTGTATGTCCACAATGAAGTTTATAAAATTATTCTTTTTTATTTACATTTCTTGGAGAAATGTCCTGGGAATATCTCTAACAAGTGATTATTATGACGGATTGATCAAATATCTCAAAAAGGAATCCACGTTGCGTCAGATAGTGTTCATTCTCGACGATAGACTAAATCATTCTGACCCAATTACAGATTCTCTTATATTGGCAGCAAATTCGTATTTTCCGTTTCTGACCATTAGTTACAGTGAAATGATGAGCACCGACATTAAAAAAAGCCGTTTTCGAGTACTTACAAGACCTAAAAGTACCACACTGTTTATTTTTCAATGAACGGAAAAATACACTGTAGAAGTTTTAAATGCATTTTTTAATGATGACAGTGATTTATTGGTATCCTTATCAAACTCAAAATGTTTAGTTGTAAATTCATTTCCATCAAGTAGTAAGTACATAAACAAAATTATGGATTTTTTTTTGCAAAATAAGTATGTGGACATTATTTTATTGTCACATAATAATGAATCACAATTGACAATTACAAGAAGTCCTAACAATTTACAATTATTGAGTCTAAAAGAAGGGCGTAAAGTAAATTATTCTACGGAGGTAGTATCATCTGAAAGTCAATGGTTTTTAAGTAAACCTGCTAAAGACTTATCGGTAGACGAATATATAAAGGCCCTAAATTTTATAGAAACTTTGATGCATAAGACAGATTTTGAACCTAAAGAAATAGTGTTTACTTTACTTAGAAGTAACACAATTTTTGGAAAGTATAATAGAAGAAACGTAGAAAAATTCAATGAAGAATGCTCCAAGAAAAATGCAGCTTTTAATATTATGTCTTCAATTTTTCGTTATAATGAAGGATATATCGATAAAATGCTTATAGAAATTGATGAATGCTATACTGCAAAAGCTATTATACCACAGATCGCAAAATTGACGAAAGATGTAGAAGTTTCAACAGAATTGTGGTCCATGATCATAATAACAATTTGTATGATTGTTTCCATACGATTCATATCATTCCTGTTGAAATTTCGAAATAGTACATGGCAAACGTTAAACATAAGTCAAATTATAATGGGAATTCCTACTAACCAAGAGCCCAAGAATTGGTTGGAAAAAATACTTTTTGGTTCACTACTGATAACTTGCACTGTTTATACAGGTTATTTGTACTCAGTACTCCTTGACAACAGTTTTCGGCAGGCTCCGGAAATATCATCAGTGGAAGAATTGGCTAATTCGCGTTTAACACCAATGATTCAGGAAAAATTGTATTTACTGTTAAAGTAGCGCTATGCAAACCCTTTAAACTATCAAAAATTAGTAGATAGATCAATTAAGATTCTAAATGGCAAAGAAGATGATTGTCTGAAAATCTTGGCGAAATATAAGAATGTTACCTGTATTTTTAATAATGCTGAGTACCATGTTAAAAAGTATGAAGCTATAAACGGTCACATAAATGTTAAAATACTACAAGAAAGGTTTTATAGAACAAGCAGAACATATGGCTCAACATTATTTTCACCTTACATCGATCGCTTAATGGAAATGACTTTAAAAGTTTTAGAACTTGGATTATCTAAAGACTTTTATAAAACTAACGTAAAACAAAAGAATGTTTCATTACTAAAAATGATTACGAAAGAAGAACTTCTACTTGTGCTGTTCTATGTAGCAGTAATTGGATACTCTCTGGCTATAATTGCTTTTATACTGGAAGTAATTGTTACGAAGCTAAAAAGGAAATTTTTTCACAAGCCGAAATTTCAATTTGTTAATTAAAGACTTGTGTCATTTTCGGATCCTGATGGAAAATATCCTTCTAATTGGTAAGAGAACTGTAGCTTTTATATAATATTCATATAGTTATTCCATATAGTTCAAGTAAAAATATTATAAATAAAAAATAAATATTATATATATTATATTATTAACCGTATGAACGGTTAATAATAATAAGATCTCCACAGAGAATCAATCTCTTGAATATATAAAAATTCTATATTCCAAATGACAGTAACCATACAAGGTCCATGTAACGAATTGCTTTGTTACATACTATCAATCATTACCCATTTGTACCACTCTTCCATTCCTTTCTTTCATTCCATACTTTCTCTCTCAACAGCCATATAATTCTTCTTTCTCTTCATGTTCTAACCTCATCAATTCTTATCACACTTCCTTTTAACCTTGTTTGCAGCCTCATCGCAACCATTTTCTCATATTTACTATACCCAACTCCACTAATCATAACTTTGGTACACCATTCTCGCCACTCTTGCGGTTTTAATATTATTCCCATAGTCCCTACCAGGCAGAGGCAGGGCTCGAACCAGTGAAAGTATATAAAAATACGGACTTTACGGACCAATTACTGACAAAAATATAACCAGTCCGAGTCAAATAAGAGAACATGTTCATGTTTTATAATAATTAAAGATGACAGAGTGATAAAATCATTATCAATTCAAATATTATTTTCAAGAATTTTTAACTAAAATTCTTCTTAAAATCGACTATTTTTAATAATTTTCGAAAAAGTTCGTTGACAATTTTCAAATTCAATTTGTTTACAATATTCAATTTTACGAAATTTCTATCATTCGTAAATTCTTCAATTAAATATATTAGAAAATAAAAACTTCAAATAATATTAAAAAAATCCGCAATTAAACTTTCTCAAAAAAATTAATTCCACAGAATTGTTAGTTAAAAGTATGAAAAATTCAAATTTTCAAACATTTTAATTTGAAACCTTTTCAAAATTCAATTATTTCTATAAAAATGTACGCTCTAATGCTTTTAATATTCAATTATAACCTAAAATTTTAACAGAAATCCATTTTTAAATCAATTTTTATAAGAAAATTCTACTAGAATTCAATTATTTAAATATACCAAAAAACAATTTATTGAATAATTGCATGTTTCTTAAAATTAAATTCTCATAAAGAATTTTATTAAAAGAAATTTTTAAATAATTGAATTCTTTTGACGAATTTTAATTAAATTTTTAAGAATAATGAAATTTAATTGAATTCTTTTGACGAATTTTAATTAAATTTTTAAGAATAATGAAATTTCTGTGAAATTTTAATTATTATGTGAGAATAATTTAAATTTTATTAAATTTTTTTTTAAATAATTGAATTCTTTTGGAAAATTTTATTAGAATAGTAGATGCCTATTAAAAATCATTGAATTGAGGAAAATTTTTATAAAAAATTGAAATTTTGGCAAGAATTTTATTAAAAGTTTTGAAAACAATTTTGCGAAGAATTCTATTATTTGAAAAGATAATAATTACAATTTTCACGCGAGAAGTTTTAAAAAAAATCTGCCCGCGCAAGCTCGGACACATTCTCATCCGCGCTTCGCGCGCGAATGGCTCGCTTCGCTCGCGGTGGTCTGCAATTGTTGTGCATTATTTGCGTTCTTGGTCTTGTTTCCTATTATATGTTTCATAAAACAGTTTTTTTTTCTTAAAGTTACTACGACTTTAAGGATTAAATTCTCATCACATGTTTTTGTTTGCTGATGATTGTGAGATTAAATGGATTTAAATGTATATTTTTGGTCTTGATGATTAAAATTGTGAAGTTATTTTTAATAATACTAACTCTCTTAGCAGAAACATGATTTGCAGAAGCAGCTAAAATATTCTTAAAGTATTACTATCAAGTTTTTTGTGTAGTGTAGACCGGAGCGTAATGGCTAAATTTTCACTCTTCGTTGATTTACTTGGACATTTTTGTTTTAATTAAGTGTTTATCTCTTAGAAAAGTTACTCTGGTATCTCAGCTTTCTTTTAGAAAAACGAACGTCCCTATATTACTCTTACTTTTTTTTCTACAATGAACAGACACTTCGTCGGTATCGTACACTATGTAAAAAGTAAGAATGACAAAAATTTTTCGTATTTTTTTCCTGAAAGCTAATGAAATTATGAA